CCTGCTCAGGGGCAATAGCCTGCTCAGGGGCAATAGCCTGCTCAGGGGCAATAGCCTGCTCAGGGGCAATAGCCTGCTCAGGGGCAATAGCCTGCCCAGGAGCAATGGCCCGCCCAGGAGCAATAGCTTGCTTAGAGATGGTAGCCTGTTCGAGACTGGATCGGCCATAATCGACAGAAGGCTGACCAGGTGGTAATTGTTCCTCCGAAGTCAACTCCAATGTCCGAGAAGATTGCGAAGGAAACCCATATGTCCTGCTAGAGTGCGTATCTCTGAAAGGAGCGCTATTTGCTGCAGGAAGAATGGCGGAATCGTTTTGTAAACCTGGGCTCGAGGAACTGTCTTCCCTTGCTTCCATCGGCTTAAGGGCGTCTGGTTGCTGCTGTTCACCAGAGGGATCTTCCGTGATGTCCGGAATTTCCTGCTCCGATTGCTGTTGCTCCTGCGAGTGGTCTTCTAACATTTCATGGTCTATGGGCCCAGTCGGTGGCCTCGGCGACATTCCCTGAGGCCAGACCAGGTGTGAGGCAGCACTATCAGGCGCTTCGACAATTATCCTGTCCAAGGTTTGTGCTGGAGTGTCATGTCGATGTGGAACTTGGAGATTCGCAATATCATTCATGACCGTATCCATTGGCTCCTGTGCAGACTCCGCGACCTCATTGGTGTCCTGGCCGTCAGACTCATTGAGGCACTCATCTTCGTAGCAAAACGATGCCCTGTAGATACTGTCAATAGCCTCGGCCGAGACTTGCACCGACATCAGCAATTCATTTTCAGGGTCAGGAAATATCTTGAGAGTAGAAGGCCGGCTACGACCAAAAAAGGCCATGAAGGTATCTCGGGAGACAGCAAATGCTGTGACACTATTGTCAATATCTTCCGCAGTCAACGTACGGTAGATGTTCGTGAGGTGCAGATCCCTCTGGTTAGATTTGTAGGCAAGCTCAAACATGCGTCCACACCGGCGCCTTATGTCGAATTTTTGGTGCACTGGGATAGTCACTCTGGGATACCTTCGAACAGGGGTCATGGCTTCCTCGATATTCACAGAGTGTTGCGCGCTCATGACAACAGACGTATGAAAGCCGAGAGAGCGAGCAAGCTCCGCCAGTCTCAACCAAGCCTCGGTAGGAGAACGAGGTGGCAACAATGATGATCTTCTGTTTTCCCGTCGGGGCTGAAGAGTATCCAGGTCGTGAAAGTGTCTGAGAGCATGAAGCCAGAGTTTCCGGTAGGCTTCAGCGAATTCTTCTTGCTTTTGGTGCTCCGAGCCAACATAACATTGCCAAAGTGCTCGGCGAATCGTTGTATGTGATTTGGAAGGTAAAAGCCGTCTGATTACTCTGCTGGGTGGTTCTAACCACATTGTGTCTTCCAGGAATGTCCGTATTGACGGAATGATATGGCCGACTTTGCAACATCTTTCTTGAATACCCACCCTTTGATCTTCATTGGCTACCCAGAAAAATGCTGAACGATCGTTGATACTGCGACGGATATGCCCTCGATCGATTCTCGAGTAGTGCGGAGAGCGACCTTCAAGGCACCTGATGGTGTATGCATCAACATAAAACGGAGCATCTCCAAGCAAGAACTCCCAGGTCCGTTTTATGTGTCGTAAGTATTCTGTGAGTTCCTACAGTTCGTGTAAATAGGTGATGTAGCACAATTCCCAAGTGTAGGACTTGAGGGTACCTCTGTGCAGCGCAGGGTGAGAATTCGATGGAAGGTTCCCAACCTGAAGTCCTGCCATAGACCTTCTAGGGGAAAGAGAGATACAAATGCGTCCACAAGAGGAAATAATCGTTGTTGTCGAAGGAGTTGCCGTAGATCACGAATCTTGCTAGGATTCGCCGCAAGTCTGGTCAACCAGAGTTGGCATTGTTCTGGGTCGTCCCCCCGTCGTTGGCAAATTTCGCGGAATATAATCCCATCGCTGTATGGTTGCGTATTTTCGTATTGAATTAAATGTTCAAATTGAAGCCGGGAAGGTATTTCTAGATAGGCTCAGTGTGGGTCCCCAAAGAAAAAGCATGGTGTGCTTACGCTCTTTGAGGTAGAAGTCAACGCCCCACCACTGATCTGGCGGGGGCATAACAATCTGGCATGCGGCCAGCCGATGGCGCCCATGTAGATACCTCAATCGTACTCCTTCACGGAGTTCAAGGGGTGGCAGGGCCAATTGATTGAGCTCCCGTATGCTGATACCCTCTTTGAGTGTCCTCCACTCATCTCGGGTTAAAAGGACTCGTATTCGGTGGCTCTCATCAAAGGGTCGACAGCGACCGTTCGAGAAAATATCCACTAGCGGTTTAAGCTTTGAGGGGTTCAGTGACAATTCGGGACCTTGGGTAGGAACAAGGGAGTCACACCGAATGCGCGCACTCCCCAAGTAGGCTTTTCGCCAGATATTCTCATCCGCCATGGTTGCTGACAGTTGAAGAAATCGACCCCAGGGGATTCGACAATCCTTGTACTATTCGTTACGACGGACGTGCATAGTTCTTTCGCCACACCTCTCCCCCTTTTCCCTCCCCAACCCCCCCCCCCCCCCACCACACCACCCACCAACCAGCCTAAAACAGCCTCATAAAACTCGCCACGGCCCAAAGATTGTTGGAACAGCTGAAACGGACAATCATGGATCAAACTTGTAAACATCTTGCCTGGTTAGAATTCGTCCACGCACGGGTTGAACGCCACATCATCTGCAACCAGCGCTTGCAAACGCTAGCAAATCATCTGCCGGATAAGGATTCGAAATACCCGAGCATCGCGTTGCTCCTCGGCCACGATACAAAAAACAAAGTCCTGCGTGACCTTCTGCCCAAAGGTTCTTTGAAAAAACAGCAAGCAAATGCGACATCTCTCAATCTCCGTCCAGATACGCAGTCATCAAAATCACCTTATCCCATTTACTATGCAGACTTGGACCCCACTGAGCATACATGTAGTCTAGAGCTGGGGAACAAAACCGGATGTCATGTCCAACAACATTTTCAGGTCTCCTGGGTCCCTGAGTCTCAGCAAAACCTGCTGGATGTCGTGATCTCGAGGCTGTTGTTTCTGTTCACGGATGTAATCTGTTTATTTGCAGACGATCTTGGCGGCCTCGAAACAACGAGAATATTCCTGACAAATTGGACTCTGCTGGCCATCGGGTCACATATAGGCCCTCCCTTACGGCCCCGGGTTTTAGTGGTCCAAAGAGACTCTGGGAACCCGATGCAAACACTGGAAAGAGACTTGTTCCTTTCCGATTTGACTCGAGATGTCGACATTAACAGGGTCTTTGCCAGCGTAAAAGTTGTTACGCTGCCACAAAAGTATCAGACCTCCCAGCGTCGACGACTTAGTTTCATCCTCGAGCTTGCAAATAGCTTGGATAGTGCGCGAGGGGACCGAATGGCAGCGTCCATGCTTTTCGCCGCCACCCATCAAGCAGCCCTTTTCAGACGGGCACTAGTCAACGTCACGAGAACAGCAGCAACACCGTTCAATTTCATACAAGCGGCCAGACAGGGGAACGAGGTCCGATCCGACCTTGTGGAGCATACTGAAAACGTCCTGAGGGTGTCCCAAAAGCTTCCTACCGGTGTTGTTGTGTTAATGATAGCATCCAGCGCGATCCTAGACGCTTACCCAAAAGGAATGCACGGTGAGTGCAGGAGCGGATGCGGCCCAAGTGGAGCTACGCTAACTTCCACGTAGGCTTCGATCCGAAGTTGTTATTTAGAACCTTGTACAAGTCGCTGTACCGCTCAGCTCTTTGTCGCGTCTCGACTTCCACTCCGGACGATGTGTCCAACGAGATTCAGGAAAGGTTCTGTGCTCTTCGAGCTGAAATGGTCAACAATGGAACCTCTTCTGCTGACATCCATCTGTCGACGCTGCGGTCGCTGCAACCGTCTTGGTCATTGTTAAAATCCAATCAGACCTGTCTCGTCTGTCTGGTCCAGAGTCCAGAGCATGTATTATCCTGCGGACATGCTTTGTGCGAAAATTGCATCAAGAGATTTGGGTGCGAGGTGTCTTTGAGATCCGGGCTTCATAGCAGCTACGAAATCAGGGAATGTCCGGTCTGCGGTAAACGGGAAAGGTTCCTTGTGCGTTTGAAACCTCCGACTGCTGGCTTCCGAATTCTGAGCATCGACGGCGGAGGTCTCAGAGGAATTGTCCCCCTAGAGACACTGTCTCTACTTCAGCAGCTGGCTCAGTCCGACTGCCCTATTCAAGAACTTTTTGACTTGGCGTATGGAACAAGCATAGGTGAGTCTCCATCATGAACTTTAGGTCAATATCCTGATATTTCCAGGGGGCATCATTGTTTTGGGACTTTTCGTGAAGAAAATGACAGTAGAGCAACTTCTGTACTTTTTCAGGAGCTTTGCTCATACGTTGTTTGGGGCACGCCGCTCGAAGGACGATTCCTCTCTGTTACCTCGCGCTCTCAAGAGTCTTCTCACCTCTAATAGCATGTACGATACTGGGCTCTTTGAGCAAACCCTGATCTCTCAATTCGGGCCCAACCGTCAACTATTTGACTATGAAGGCCCCACAGCTTCCGGTACTAAGGTCGCGGTGACAGCCGTCAAAGTAAGCGAAACATCAACGCCGACACGGATCTTCACAAATTACAACGGTAGCAGGCGTCGACAATCAGAAAGCGGTAAGAGAAAGCGCCACTCCTGTTCTCAGGTCATCTAACAGGGTCTAGGATATCGATTCGAGCGTCCATTTAGGGCGGACCAGGAGCCGTATGTGTGGCAAGTGTAAGTGTGACGCTCTATGTTTCGACGATCAAAGTATTCTAATCTCTTGTAGGGCAAGAGCAACCTCCGCCGCCCCGATGTGAGTACCTAGACCCTTTCCCTTCGACTACGATGGAATTCTAACCCTCTTAGTTATTTTAGAGCTATCAAAATTCCCTCCTTGGGCATCTATCGGGATGGTGGCGTGAGCCATCACAACAATCCTATCAACATCGCATTATGGGAGAGCCGTTATATTTGGCCTTCAGTGATACGACCTGACGTGGTGCTTTCTCTTGGCACGGGCTACGAAGAAACGAGCCAATCTCCCCTTGTGAAGACCCCTAAGATCTCTTTCCCGTGGTCTTTCTCATTCTCTGTGAAGGATACTCCATTGCACTGTCTCATAAGCTCGTTTAAGGGTGAGCTAGATGGTCAACGCACATGGAGGGAGTTCATGAATCACCGGCCTGAACACGAGAAACCCGACTATTTCAGATTAACGTTGGAACTGCCCGGTCCAGAACCTGCTATTGACGACTACGACTCCATCGAAGTCCTTTCCTCCGCAGTTCGGCTCCAGCCCAGCGGACCAGAGACACGACGCGGTGTCCTCATGGCACTTTTGATATCAAGTCTTTTCTTTGAACTCCAGGAGATGCCCTCTTACGGCGACGGGATGTACTATTGCCACGGCTCGGTTCGGTGTCGTTCTTCAGGGGCACTGAAGTCCTTACTTAAACTCCATCCTCTCGGAAATCTCGAGCTGTTTAAAGACGGAAACAGCCTCGGTGTATTTTTGAGCGAGCAAGACATCTGTGGGACCTGTCGACGTTATCGCAAACCAGTGCACTTCTTCGTGAAGGACCTAGACGACGAGATTAATTTATGCGTGAAATGGGATATAGACCAGACAAGGAAAATCAGTGCTATGCCCCGCAGAGTCTCCTGGTTTGTGGACAGACAGGGTCTCGACATGCCCTTTGGATCTGCGACCGATCCGGGCGTAATCTACGAAGAATGTGGTGGTTGCGCACCGAGCGAACAGAAATTGCCAACATGGACACCGGGGCCATTAAGGACAAAGAGAAAGCGGTCATATGAAGTTATGGATGTAGAGCCGCACAAGAAGCGCAGCAAACGATAGTGAAGGATTCCGTACAAGTCCGCAGTTTACTCTTGCCCTGAAGTGAGCGTTGCTGCCTTTTCAGCATCTGCCTTAACCATGTCGATGAATGACTGCAGTTCGTCGACTCTTCCATAGAGTTTCCTGTATTCTTTCTCCATAAACGCACCCAGGTGGTCCAGACGTTGAAATATCTCGGCAATGTTGAGTGAACGTAGACGATGCATTTCCTCTTCTAACCGTGCCATTCTCTCCATGAGCGACTCGAACTGGCGCGCGTACAACACGGTTGTTGGTTGAGCATCGAAGCGTTGTTCATGGTCGGAAGAAACTTCCTGACCTCTCCTTCGGATGTCGTCATGAGGGTAGGTTGTGAATGGAGATGGATTCACGGAGTTTCGTCGTGTGGATCTAGTCGGCGGCGACATCTTTGCCGTCGATAGTTGCCCAACGGCCACCCTCGGAATGCTTCCCGCCTTCTGCAGGACAGTTGGACGGTCGATGTACAATGTCGAAGGTGCAGATGTCTGCTCTGTGAGAGGGGCTGATGGGTTGCCTTGGGGTAGGTAACGATCTGCTCCCGCAGAGGGAGCAACCTGCTCTGTCGCAGAGATCGATTGGGTGCTGTGCGGCAGGTAACGATCCGAGTTCACAAGGGGCATATCAAGAGAAGCCTCGTCAATGAAGTCCGGAGTATCGAAGGAGCCGAACGATGACAGGGTGGGTGTCTCAGTATCCATGAGATGCCGCCAAGAATGAGTGCTCATTTTGGTTGGTAAACTAAGCTGAGCTTTGAAGGAGAAGGTGGCCAGCGTTCGATGGACAGCAGATTGCGCCCTGTAGATCCCTGGCAGTGTTTATTTGAGTCTTTAATAAAGTGCATCTCTTCCAAGCAGGGCGGCGAGCCCAAGTAGTAATCGTCGGCCCAACCAATTGTTTGTAAGTATTTGCCGCCAGCGCTTGCGGCATGAAAATAGCTTTCCTAGGTCGGAGAGGGGGTAGACCCACCACACCCCTCAATTCGTAGAACTACGTAATGCAGCCTTTGGCGGCTGGGGGCTTAAATCTGGTCACCACCCACCCTGCCCTTTCACATGCGGTCCTACACTCCCATTTGCCTCCCATAAAACCTAGCTTTCACTTTGGACTTTGATGTTAGAATACTCTTGCACAATGCTCAATCATGGAGCCGATGAATCAAACGACAACTGTTACAGAAATCGACTCTGCTCCCCAACATGACGTAGCGGCCGACAGCAGAGCAGCAGATAGACGACACCTTGATCGGTTAGACATCCTGCATAATTTGCAGGAGCAAGCTGCATGTCTTGCAACTAGGCTCGGTGGGCTGTCAGGGGTTCTATTGGAGGGCCTGGATCAGCTTTGCAGGGCCTGTGGATCACGGGTTCGCCGGGAAGCCCTTTACACGGAAGAAATCAATAGTATCATGAGCATGTGGGCCGATGAACAGTCTCGCCACGAAAAGACCAGGAGCGATCTCGAACACTGCCAAGCTCTGCTCAAGGCCACCGATGCTGCATATCGCTACCTCTGCATTGCCGGTGTAGCCGAGGAAGGTGTTCAGCACAGTTTTTCGACACTTCCCGACCAAGTGCTCTGGACCCACCAGTTCGAGAAGACAAGCGAAGAACTGCATGCGGAGGGCCAGAACCTCGATTTACGCCGTTCACGACTCCGACAAAGGGCACGCCATTTCATACTGTCAATCAGAAAATACGAAGAGTTCGCCCGAAAACTCCGTGCCGAAATGGATCGATATTCGGAGTGGCTGGATTCGAGGGCGCAGTTGTTACAACGTAACTACGAACGGTATTGCGAGATTATGGCTGAGAACTGCCAGCCCCCTCTCTTGTTGTACCAAGGTGGTGAGGAATTGGCCCACTTAAAGGATGCCTTCTCAGCAGCAACAGCCGAACGGGAGGAAGCAGCCAGAAGAGGTAAAGAAACTTCGTATTTTGACGGCAGACCCGATATGCTTGAGGATATGTTTGACATATTGTCCTAAGAACAGCGGCAGTTTTGTGAAACTTCGGGCCCTCCACCTAGAGTAGTGTCGGATGGACTTTTGGCTACTGTGTACCATAGTGGACCCACACTATCCCTCATCCCGCTCGCATGAGGGGCAAAGAAAATGCATTGTTTCGTCGCTGCTCCAGGGAGTTCAAGCCAATAGCATCCACCACCCTGACCCTACATGACTCAAAGCTCCTTCCTTGCTGCCACATCATTTGCTTGTGAGCCATTCCGAAAATTGTTTGCTCGGCATCAGCGGCGAGAATTGAACCGTGCTTTTCTTGAATGGAACCGTCGCAAGTCCCTGGAGCATTCTGAGGCTTTGCCAATCCGGCAAGTGCTGCTTCTCGCTCGAGCTGGGTTGAAGTCGGGACATTGACGCATATGTGGTGATGTCTGAGTCACTGTCCGACTCAGATGCGTCTTCCCTTCCCGTCTTCGTAACCGTAACACTGTCGGCCTCTGCTGGACGTGTCACCTGTGTGACGATCGGTGGGGGGTCGTAAGTTGACAACTGCAGGACGGTTAAGAGGAGCTAATTTAACAAGCTGGCCAGGGTAATACTCACAAACTCTTCCAGGGGAAATGGCCACACATCTTTAGGAGCGTTAGCACTGACAGAGACGTGCCATTGCTTGCGATGCGGCTGATATATTAGACCTAGGAAATATGCGCCGGTCTTTTCGCTCAGCTCATTGCCTTTCCTCCAGATGGTGTCCCTTCTATTCTTGAAGGTCTCCTTGCGGCCAGGCCCTCTTTTAGAATAGGAAGACGTAATGCTTCGCTTGAAGTTGACTTTAGGTGCCTTGGTCGCTGAATGCTTTTTCGTTTTCGCCATATTCCGCAACTTCTCGGGAGAGTCTGCCTGTGCAAAACTGCCTGCTCGAGAGGACTCTGATCTTAAGAGACGGGAGGGTGTTGGCTAAGTCTGGGGTGTACTTTTATATTTTAATCGAAAGGAGTGGCCCTCCGCGCGCTTGCAATGCACCATCAGCCCGCCGATATCCAATCGCAGATGCAGTTCGAGGACCTGTAGCTGCCAATTGACCTCAATGAACGTAACCTTCAGCGCCCAAACGAACGAGCCCAACTAATGCGGCTTTTGCACATACACCACCCACCCTTTCTTCCCAACCACCCCCCCTCCCCCGGGCCCCTATTTACAGATGCATTGAGCACTATAAGTTACGTGAGAGATGAGGATATCTCTTATCGTTAGGAACTGTGCGCTCGTCGCAACCCTTGACCAATGGAAGTAATCATATTCTATGCAGCCGCCGCGGGTGGAATCCTCCTATTATTCCTAGCTCGGAACCTAGCTGGGTGGTTAGTACGAGCTCCGCGCGTCCGTTCCTGGGCATTCCGACATCTCCATACCACTCTTTTCCGACGGCGGCCGACACATTCACCTATCTCCAGGATTGAAGCGATGTTGCACATGATCTATTGGGGCGGCACGATGATTTACAATTTCCTGGGTATTCAATCAGCGGCCGATGCGAGCACAAGAGCCGGCGCTTTGACGACGCTTAACATGATTCCTTTACTCTTCGGCGGACGCATTAGTGCTGCCGCCGATGCCATCAATGTCACGCGTCGAACGTTGGACAAGATCCACAAGACAGTGGGCACAATGACCGCGGCACAGATGGGTTTGCATCTGGCTTTTGAGGCGGCGACTCGCCGACTTCGATTCGACACGGTTGGTTGCCTGTCTATTCTGGTAGGCACTGTGTTCGCTTGACCTTTGCCAAATCTCGACCCATGCTAACTGCTGCAGGCTACTATCTGTCTTGGGCTTATGACCGTTCTTGGCCTTCCTGTCACAGAAGGGTCAACACGCCACTTTTTCCACATAGTTCACAAGCTATTGGGCGCCGCTCTCCTTACGAGCTTGTGGTGGATTGCACCACCACATTCACCTAATCGAGTTTTTATCTACATTGCAGTTGGCTTGTATGGGCTTGCAGTTAGCGTGTGCCTGTGGAGAACGTTTGCACGGTCCTTCTCGGTCTCCACTGGCTGGTCGACAGCGAAGGTGAGAAAGGAAGAGGGTCTCTTCGTCCTGGACGTATACCTCCCTCATCCAATGGAGGTTCACGCCGGGCAGTACTTGTATATTTGGTCACCACCTTTGTCTCCACTCTCGATGCTTCATCCCCACTGCTTTGTTATCGCTTGGTGGGAAGGCACAAGCGAAAGCACGTCTTCAATATCCTTATTGGTGGAGGAGCGCCGAGGTCTCGCTAACAAGCTGGAGAGCTCTATGTTGGTGGAAAAGGAGCTCAGACTCGGGATCGACGGTCCGTACGGAATGCACAGGGACAGCTCTAGATACGAGACCCTGATGTTGTTTGCCACCGACTCGGGAATTGCAGCTCAACTCTCGCTGCTAAAAGAAGCTGTGAGCCAACACCAACAGCAGAGGACTGCCAATAAACGCATTGTCTTGGTATGGCAAGTTGAAAAGGAAGGCATGTCATATCCCCACGGCTTACACTTTCGCAAATTCTGACTTCAAGCCATAGCCTACGAAGTGTGGCCAAAAAATTGGATGGAAGAGGTCTTGAACATGACTACGGCATCGGTGGGCCCATCGCCCTGACTTGTAAACTCACGTATTCGGACCTTTGAGGACTGACACCCGGACAGACATTCCAAGCCCTGTTATACGTGACAGGTGGCTTCAAAAGCCCTGATTGGCACAGAGGTGAACCGCCGGACTACGGGCGGAGAATCAAGAAATACTATGAGTCCGCAAACCTAGAGGAAATCTTGAAACATGAGTTGCAAGAGGGCGGAGGGCCTGTGCTGATCACTGGTAAGTGAGAATCCGGCAATGTGGAAATGTCACTGTTGACGGCTGGCAGTCTCAGCTCAGGCCAACATCCGAGAGCAATGGCGTGAAGCTTCCCAGAAGGTCTGTAGAGACCAGGAGGTTTGCAGAAATCGGGTTGTTTGCTACCAGGAGCTTGATTTTCAACCATGATAGTACGCTAGGCGGATTTTGCAATTTCGAGATGATGGATTGCCCGTTTCTCCCTTCCTCATTTACATCTATTGTATATCTCCGTCCGAGTTGTGTAGACTGGTCTCTCGATCTTTGGATCTCTCCTTTGGCGAGATCTGTCGTACCTATATGACGGCCTGGTTTCACGTCTGGATCTAGATACACGTAGAGCCAATTTGATCAAACTCTGAAAACTAGGCTTCTGTGAACCACGCCGCAGCCATAAAGGGCACTCTACTCGATCACCACTTGTGTCCTTCAGTGCTCCTCCCTCATAACGTAGACCGTGAGCTGCATCGCTGGCTAGATGGACGCAAGCCACACAGTATCGACGTCGACATCTGGAAAGGTGACTGTAAAATTGTTCTAATCGAATCATCTCCCTATCGGTGACCAGTCGGGAGTATGAAGGAGGCAACAGAAACCGAACACGCTTGGCGAATGGTTTTTGAGGAATGTTCTTGATGGTGTTGGAGAACTGTCTTTCAGACTTGGCGGGATAATGTCGGTAATATTGTGTGGCCATTTGCAGTTATTCACAACTATTCACGCAGCACAGTTTCTTTACTTTGGATAAATAGATAGTGCACTGTAACAGCGTCGAACATAGCAGGCCTAATATCTATCTTGCTTGGCCTCTGATTTATCTGCGAGCACCTGAGGGGATCGACCAGAGTAACAGAGTCTCCGCTCGAAGGCAAAGTGCTATTTTCGACAATCCACCTCGCTAGGGAGCGGATTACTGTTTTACACCCTACCCTACGTACCTTATCCGGCATCCCCCTCCCCTGGGCTATTGTGGTAGTTTTGCCCCCCACCCCCCTTCTCCCCCTCTTTTTTTTCCCCTCCCTGTTCGGGGGGGAGGAGAGGGGGTGGTTGTTGTTGTTAAGAAGAGGAAGAGTAATGACTGGAATTGGCTTATTGCGCTAGGAGCCTCGGCTAGGTAGAGTTCACGTGACTCACCAACATCGATACCTTAAAGGGCAGCAGCCTTATTATATTTGACCCTTGGCTATGGCGCCGTACGGTAGATGGCCCCTACGGGGATAGAGCTTCGCCCGGGCCAACATTTTTCCGCCCATTTGATTTCGCGCAACACTGTACTGACAACTATTTCTTCCGCTGTAACATAGAAAATAAGGACTCTGGACGGCTCGTGAGATTCTAGAATATTTGAAGAACGTTTTTATTTGAACCACTATAGACCAAAAAATGCTTGTACCTACAGAGCTTCTGGTGCACCTCCGCTCCGTACCACAAATCGTCTATTTCTCGACACATAAGCGAAAATCGACAGTTCAATGATTCGAGCCCTCAAATTCCCGAACTAGTGCCTCTTGAGGTAGCCGGAGGATTTTGCCAGCCGGCACCGTGTTTGCATAGCGGAAATAGATGTCGAAGTTGTTGATCTCGCTGATATGGGCCGATAAGGCAATAGGTAAATGCGTTGTATCCCCGTTCAATTTGTAACTGACTGTAGCCTTCACCTGTGGAGCAGTCGCGGTAACGAGAACGTGAGACAGCTCTCCTGCCACCAAGTAGGAAACATTATATTGCCCCCGACTAACGCGAAGCTGTATGTACAACAGGCGTCCTTTGTCCGTGTTCAGTCGAAGCATTAGACCCATTGCACAGAGGTGGTGGTGTAAAAGAGATGGCGTACTCAATAAAATAGCAAATTCTGGCCTTTGAAGTCTCTCACAAGCTTTGAGGCAGACGGTAGTAAGCAATTCTGCAAATGCAAGACGTTCTTCACTGTCGATTGCAAGCTCGATCGCATCGCTCTTCCAGATTGGCCACATATATGAGGCCCAGATCAGGTTCGATTCGTTGTTTTGAAGACCACAATAGGATCGAGCGCCCTCTGTTAATGCTTCGAGGACGGTTCTGTCGTTCACAACCACCAGAGGAATGTGGTCCACAAGAGCCACGGAGTACTTTTCGACAGTGCGGACAATAATCGGTTTCCTCTTACTGAACGAGATGGTTGCATTCGTGCTGATAGGTGGTCCGGTAAAGGGAGCTCTCAGTGTTGCAATGATAGAGCCTTGTTTCCAGTAACGGGCATCCCAGATATGAGACATGAGCTTGTTGTTGTCACTGATTTCTTCCTCAATGGTCTGGGGTTCCTCATCTATGGAAGTTGCGATCTGCTCCTCATCATCGACCTCCACGTTGTTATGAGACTCTGTGTCCATTGCTGAAATATTTGTGTGTGAATGGCAACTGATCTTGGGAAAATGGGGTGAGTTCTAATGTATTATATAGCACGGCGAGCAGAATGCACTGCCTCAGACGGCCATCTGGTTGAAGATGTCATGACAACCAATTCTGCCTTGTGAGGTCGTCGCAATGGCTCGCGGAAGTGAAAGTGGGCTCGCTCCTGTCATGAGACTCGACGTGTAGGCAGCTCGCAGCGACAATGTCTCAGGCTGACCGCTGGCGTGGTCCAATTCTCGACAAATAAGGATTGGGTGGCGTGGTTGAAAGAGAGAATAGAATCAACAAGCTTCATGCGCCTTGTCTAGATGACTCCTGGAGACGTGGGTAGCGAGACATCTCGGTCATGGCTGTGTAGCTTCACAGTGCGTTGCATAGAGATTCCGGCGTCTCTAGAATAGTCTGAGATGTGACTATGCCTTGTGATCCTATCCCGTGTACTAATTATGACTCGCTCGCGCCGCCGGGTTCAACGAGCGTTTGGCGTTTTTAGACGAAGTTGTTCACTTCGACTGAGCCTCTGATGCTATGATTCGCTCGAGCAGCTGACTACTCAGGATTGTCGATGGGTCATCCTCTCCCAGGGCTGTACTCTTGAGGCGCAATACCCTCGTAACAAGGACCTTTGCCTCTTGATACTTCGCCTGATCCATTAAAATGATGGCCAGATTAGTGAAACTAGTCCAGGTTTCAAAATGCCCTTCGCCCAGAATTTCGAGGCTCAACTGAAGTTCGGATCGATGTAGGGCTTCCCCTTCCTCATACATCCCTTGTCTACTCAAAAGAGTTGCCAAATTGTTCATGCTTGTCAACGTGACACGATGCGTCCTGCCGAGAAGGCGCTCGCTCAGGCGTAACAGCCTTCGAGTCAGTATTTCCGCGTCCTTGTATTCGCCCCTTCTGGTAAGATGAATAGCTTGTTCGTTCATACGTTCGAATATGTAGAACTGCCTCTCTGGGCTAGTAACACTAATTAGTGGGTGCATGGTCTAAGTATTGGTAGAGGAGACGAGAAAAAGTGATAGAGAGGACACAGATACTGGCTTATTGGTAAGAAGTAGACATTGGCGACGTCGATGGTAGGAGGGGACCGGTGGAGGGGGTGTCAAAGTCGCACCCGGCGCATATACTCAAGCATGGAGTCAGTCCCTTCAGGCTGTTGGAGAGAATAAATATTGGCGTTCCTGGATACCCCGACGATCAGTTCGCACCTAATTTCAATACAAGTCCTCTATCATCAGATCCATATTCCCTATTATGACTATGAAAGTAATAATCTACACTACCCTCATACCACTTCTCTCAACGTCGTCGGTCTTGGCTCAGGCCAACGCGTTCTCACAGGCATCCGAGGCCCTGGCATCAGCAACTTCTGCAATCGCAAATCACCCAGGGAACATATTGGAGATTTACAGCTCCCTGACCTCGAGGTACGGGTCAATACTTGCCAGTGCTACCGACGCCCCAGCGGCTGAGTTTGCTTCGATCACGAGTTTAATTGGCGCGATCGCTACGAATCCTGTCGATAGCGTGCAAAGCCTTGTCGACGACATTCTCAACTGCGGAGCTTCCGCCACTGCACCTGCCAGCACAGATATGAATGTGGATACTAACGGCGGACCAGCAAGAACTGTGGGGGTGCTTGGAGCTATGGGAGCGTCTCTCCTGGCTTTCATTGCAGAATGGTGACAAGGCTCGATGGGGTCATGTCAGCCTCAGCCTTTATCGGCGGTCATAGGATCAGGAAACAGGGGAAAGTCGACCGTGGAGGCAGGTGGAGTCAGCCATACGCGCGAGGCTAGCAACAGTTAGGGTCCGAGTCACGTGAGCGAGGACAACCGCACATAGGGTTGCTATAGTGACAAGGAACGGAATGACAGCCTCGCAGGCTAGTGCCTTTATGAGGCCTTTGTAAAACTCAGTAGACAGGCGACTCTCCGGGACCCTTCGAAATCTAGTATGTTCTCCAATCGAGTCACATGCATTTCATATTACAGCATTGGAAAGTTTAACGGTGGATTATCGTCGATGAGGTGCAACAGACAGAAGGATAAAAGATATAGCAACTGTGAATTGCTTTGTTGAGGAGATGTCTAGTATACTGCAAGACGGAGTGAAGTAAGAAGAAAAGAGCATACTGTAACAAGGTGAAGTGGCTATGGCAGAGGCGGTGGGGAGGGTGTGCTTGTCTAGTCACATGTTCAGACAGATGTTCTAGCACCATTTTAGCTGTGGCTGCCAGGTTTTTTAGGGAACAGTTGAAGAAATTTAGTTTATCACACAGGATCACACAGACAGGCACAGAAAGTGACAGACAGAGTATCTATTGTCCTGATGTTTATTCCACCGCCCTGAGCGCCCCTACCTGTCTCTCCCTGCCGTCAGGCACTGTCGCACGACCTAGCCGCCGACTCTGTGATATTGGCGGTCGTATTCTGTGCCGGCTTCAATCAGAAACGCGTCTTCGACTTACCGATCTGCTGCACAGGGCTCTTTGCGTTGTTGCACGTGGGCGCCGAACCCTGAAGTGCTCTTTTACAATACTTACTGAATTAGCGGTAAACTAAGTACTACTCTGTGCGTAATTAGATTTCATCGCTGATAGGGACCCTCGGCCGAGACGGGGAGATATGTTTTCCTGCTCGCGATTTATGACTACTCTATCCAGCTAGTCTCGCCTTTAGTGCCAACTCAGCGGCAGATATTGTTGACAATTTGCACCCTTAACATAGAAATCCAATACCCTGACAGAAGTACCCTCCTTGTACGCAGTTCATGCCTGTGGTTGGTTAACGCATTGCTGGGTTATCTCCACATTTTGTTGGGTCGTGGAAGGTCGCTGGACGTACAGGAAGGTCGGGACTCGTCACACTTCTTCTTCCTCCACCGACATATCTGGCATCCGGTCTTTGTTCGTTTGGTGGATCTGCGCTTCCGCTTCACTTTCGAGGCCGAAGGAGCAGTGCAAACATCATCAGAACCTCGGGAGGTCAATGTAGTACTTGGGTCTATTGCATTGCCGGAACTGTGACTTCTCGAAACAGTATCAGAATTGGTAGTACATGTTATGGAGCTGGATTCTGGATTGACAACGACTTTCAGCATCAACAACGCACAATGGACATTTTACTTTTCTCTAAGATACTAACTAACCTGTGCTCGCGGCGGTGGTGCGATATTCTGACTCTGAGTGGTTGATAATTGCTGAAATTTCCATGCCGATCTTTCTACATCTCCAGGCATTATATCATTATGGAGAGGACGTCGAGATAAGTTGATATTATAAACAAGCCTAAGCCCTATTCCCCGTTGCTCTCTACCGCATCCCACCCACCTTCCCTTCCCTTACTAAACCAACCCCCGTACCCCCGGTTACGATCCTCGTCGTGAGAAGGATCCGGAAGTGATGGTTGTAGGGAATGTATTCGGTGGCTATGATATATCACGTGATAGATATGCGGCCTTGCTAGCGAGGCTGGATGATTGGTCGACCTTCAACGCCTCGGTCGATGGTCCTATCGCATCAAGTCGATTAGTCACCAAATAACACCCCTCCCCCGGGGGGGGGGGGTTTCCCATGCCTTCTTTTTATTCTCTTTGCTCTCTTATCTGTACCTCCCTTTACCCTGCTGTCCTAATAGACCCCCTCCACCTCTCTTAAGTATAGGCCTTCTTTCTGATTCCTCTTCGAGACTCGACAATTATTGCTACTCCCTGAAATATAAAACCGCTTCCGCCACCACTAGTAATCTACTATTTAGAACTAAGTTTCAGCTTATGAATGGCACCTAAACAATGTACCCGTCTCTGGAGCAATTAGCTGGCGAAGCAGCTCGTCAATTAAATCCATCCACCCATTCAACAATTTCCATGGGATCGAACCTCGATTGCCTGCCGACCAATGATCGGACTGCGGACCCCGAAACTCAACGAGTCCCCAGAATGCCTAGAATCCCATACCTTATCAACAACGAAGGTGCTGCTACAGAGCCACAGCCCTATCACCACTGCTACACACCCACGATCAATCATTTGGACTCACCCGAGGATCAAGAGGCAATTGCCGCACCAGTACCAAGCCCAACGACGCTGGCAGGTCGAGAATCCAAGGCAGCCACCACTCCAGTCAACGTGAGGCAATTTCTAGCAGACCCCCAGGTCATTGTCAATACTGGACCTCGCATCATCTTCGAAACTCGACTTGATCTCTGCGAAGGGAACCCTAGCAAGGACGAAGACTTCAACCAAGGTCAGCTTCTTGAGTTGAACAGAAAGCTAGAGAGCCTGGAAAGATGCACGATTGATTTACAAACTAAATTTGCCATCTATGAAAGGTCGCATAGCGAACTGCGAGAGTGGACAGTTGCGGTGATGAGTGCCAATGGGCTTCTCGCGTCAGGTGAAGAGAGACCAACCAAGAGGAGAAGGACTGCTAGTACTACTGCTGCTGGATTATGGTAGTGCCTAGGTTCGCTCTTCACCCAGTTACAAGATATTCTGTCTTTTTTGCCATTAACCTCTCCTATCCCATGCATGGCGGCTAAAGCGGAGAGTTCAATTTATGTAGTCTGGATCCTCGAGAACTGAGCCACGTTGAAAATCAACCACCCATATCCTAAGTCTGCTGGAATCCGCTCAAGCATTCAATATCTGGAACCCAGCCGTCACTTTCGATTGTCAGCCTCAGTGGGATTGAAACGGATGGCTACAAACCTGGTAAAGAAGATCTTTTCTTCATCAATCAAGATATGGCATTGTGGAGACCGGATAATCAATTGGAGAGAATTTATTTCGTGAAAGGGGATAGGTGGAAAGTAAACTGATGCGATAGAAGGATCCATATAGGAGCATTTTTGGCTTAAAGAGCAACTTGTTTCTCCCAAACTGAATTTCAAGGTCACAGTTATCTCTGGACGAGAACCATCCAGTATTTCGCACCAGACTGAAGTCACATTGCCAGTCCCACCTCTCATCGTGCAGAACACGACCGCGATTTTGGTAGCCATGTGTGAACCCTTTCATTTTGTTCCCTTTTTCTTTTCCAGAAGCTTGAGTTGGGGAGGTCCATGCATATAAGGAAAAGGCCATCGACCATGTGGATAGCCCTTAGCACAAGCAGGTCGCTTAATGCCTGCATACGACTGGTTGCAATTACGGGGATCATCAAACCATAATTACCTCTTACTCGGACATGGGGCCGAAGTGGTCCGGGAGTGCATGTTGAGGTCAATCACTGGTCTAATGGGGTCTCGCTCTTCTGTTTCGATCATTGGCGCAAGGTCCGGGAGCGAGAGGAACAAAACGAATCTATTCCTACCTCGCATCAATTTCGACTTCACCTTGCATTGTCTTCTTTCATTAGTACGATATATAAATCGAATTTAATAATATCTTAGAATTTAATAGTATCTTAGAATTTAATAGTATCTTAGAATTTAATAGTATCTTAGAATTTAATAGTATCTTAGAATTTAATAGTATCTTCGGACGATGATATTAAATAGCGAAAGTTTAAGTTCGTAAAAACTAAAAAGTATATCTAATTACGTCGTTATTATTTCTATAGTATTAGGCCGAACGAAAATAATCTATCCTACTATTCGTAGACTCGAAGTTCTAAGTCTTATAAACGTTAGTTAATAAAGTAGCGATATATCTATTTATATATCTTAATCGTTATATTCTAAGAGGTCTAAACGCTCGCTAATATAACCGTTAATAGTAGGTACCTGTTACGAACAGGCCACAGACGGGGCCAAGGGCAAGGAGGATGAGGCAGGATAGCCGAGTGTGACATATTAGGCCCACCAAGGCTTGGCAACGTGACAGACACATGGCATGTTGGCATGCTGGACATGTTGCGACATGTCAACATGTCTAACATGGCACGAATCTCCTTGGTCTGACAGAAGTTTCTCTGATGCGCGCCCTGCTTGACAGAGGGAGGTAGGTCGCAGATCGCCTCTAATGAAACGCGACAGAGCGTGCCAGAAATTGGATATCGTGGCTAGCATTTTAAGTCAGTCCCTCACAGGAACCGGAATTCCTCTTCGCGCTGTGGGTATAGTCCAGGAGTTGAAGGAGAAAGTTAGAGGGGAACAGCGAGATCTGGTGTAATCTTATCGTCTGAGGAATACAACAGGGTTTAGGTCCGCAAACTCTACGGGTCCGCAAGGGCGCGAAAGTCTTGCAAGTTTGAAAATTTTGCTTATAATGTCTGCAATTTGGAGACAGGAAAGATCCGTTCCAGGGGCCTTGACATCCCAGCTCAAGACAACGTTTGGGACACCCCAACCCCCAACAATTTAATACGTTGTTACAGTGACGTGTCCCTCGTTGCAATGGTGCTATAATCCCTTTCCCACAAGCGGCAGCTCCCCCGGGGCACAAGAAAGACTCCGCTAATATCTAGCCCCGGACTTTGATCCCGTACCAATGCACAGGTGTGACTAGTTCTGTGACAATGTAGTCCTCGATTGGGGTCGGCATTGAGCAACGTGCCAACTGGACAATCTTGTACAGTACTTTCGGGAGATTCAACATGTTAGAGACAAAATTAGGCAGCTGATGCCACGTTAGGATGAACTTATCTTGAAAAGGGGGCTATGAAGCACTCACAAGGCTATTGAACACCGGATTTTGCGGAAAGCGTGCTGCTGTCACATAGACCAACACCAGGGACACAACTGAGCGGCAAAGATTTAAAGCAAGCGACAGCTTTTTTTCCGGGGTCCATGCAGAATTGCTTTTGAATCCGATGTAACCGAGAGCCAAGAATCCTTGAACAATAAGCAAGACGTAGTCGACTGTTACCGAAGAAGCAAAAATCAGGGCCTCTTGTTGGCTTTTGGAGCTAAAGTCATAGAGGTAAGCTCTCTGTTCAATCTATAGAGCGAAAACTTACCCATGAAGAAATGACTGGATTAGAAGAGAAAGCTTAGGGAGAAGCCATAAAAGTAATACGGTACCCCTGAACCAACGCGTGTCTAAGTACACAGCTTCAAATCGAAGCCTCACAATTGTTACAGCCACCGGCCATGAGAGGAATGTATCGACCAAACTCTGAAGAAAGAGGCTCGTGTGCAACAGAATAATAGCGATGAGAGGTTGTCGGTCGAGAAGGACTACCACAGCAATGGCGAATAGAAGCTGTAATCCGGACTCGATGTTTCGTAGGCACATTTTCCATTGGTTCTCCAAGCGCCACGTAACAAAGTGCGCAGATAAATTGACAAGTGTAGAAATCATGTTGAGAATGCTGAGGACCAATGTTGCATTAGCCATGAAGGAATACGAACAAGTGAGCCACGAGTTATATTGAGCGGTGAAGAGAAAAGGCAACAAGAAAGCGAATAGGCCATATTTATTAGCGAGCCCGAAAAGTATAGACTGCGATATGTCTATAACACATTTCCCCTTCCAAGTCAACTTTCGTAGACGGGAGCTGAGGTGAGGGCTAGGATTTTGCACGCCTTTGTGCTAGCGTGGTGGTTCAGCAGCATTTACTTCCCCGTTCGCTTAAAGTTCGCACAGTTGGTCCAATCATGATTTTTTGGGCACTTTCTCGAGAAAGTGCCCAAAAAATCATGATTGGACCAACTGTGCGACTTGTGGGGCCTACTACGGAATTTGAGGGATTAGCAATGACCGCCCAGCTTCTCTGTGCTCATCTTTTTCACCCTTTGACTTATGTCTTCGTCCAGAATGCGTTCTCCAATGGCTGATTCAATCAACTATGCGGACCTTATATCCCATGTCTCGTCCATGTCTCCTGAAGATGTCGAAACAAATCGAACTGATCTTGAGAAACTCTTCTCTGTTGTGTCGAAACAACTAAAGCCACCTAAATATTCATCTTCCCAACGCGATGAACGAGCTATTTACAGTATCGAAACGACAGCTTCGAAATATGAGAGGAAGGCCTCGAAATATGTACACAAACCAAAGAAAAGAAAACGGAAAGCAGATACAGAGCTGTTTCCGGCTCTTGCGATACAATCCTTCGAAGTTGGGACCCAAGGTCTCGTTGAAACAGACTCTCAGTGCCGCGATCTTGAGATCCAAGGCCTCTCTAGGACACACTCTCAGTGCCCCGCCGTTGAGACCCAAGTTGCGGTCAAAAAAACCGCCCTGTATACCCAATTCACGAGAGAGGCTATCCTTAATACTTTCATCTCGAGGATCGGAGAATACCGGCCCGCTCGAGCTGCAGCCGACATTAGCTGGAAGTCAGAAGCAAGCCGTTGTGCGAGCTTACTCGAGGCATACTTCGCCGCGAAATTTATCTACAAGGAATACACTGAGTTCAAGTCAAGCTCACAAAGCAAGGAACCGAGCAGGAGCAAAGGAAGACCCCGAGAGGCTTATCCAGAGTTTGCCCAAAGCTTAAGTATCTCCGACCCAAAAAGCCTTCGGAACACCGTGAGACTCGGGGAATATATTGAACGGGTTTTGTCCCTCCTCCCTGGGGTTCTTATATTTTGGAAGCAATATTCCAACATATCCCGTCTGAGCCGAGATGACTTAAAACATATTCTAACGAGTCTCAGTCCAAACACGAGACGTATATGTTCCGAATACAACGGGCTCATTCTCGACCTATATTCTAGGTATACACAATTCGCTCCAATACTTTGGTCGGCAGACAAATTGAAAGAGTCAAGGGCGGTCATATTGGAGATAATGAGCACGAATCAGCCTGTCACTCACAACAGGTTACCAATTGAGACTATAGATTGTGGTGCGCATCGCAAACGCCAACAGGTAGATGTCTTACCCAGACATCGAATCACTGGGAGTGATAGAGACGACGACCCTCAGAGTGACGGAAGCACTGACCCTACGAGTGACGCTATTAGCGCTGGTCCTCACTCACAGTCTTGGACTGGACAGGAAACTCAAAGGTCACCCGGACCAGTGCAACAAAGTGAGTACACATTCTCAGACTTGGTGCTTGATGGCAAAGGACTCACGCTGTTTCCAGACGAGTCGGTTGGCCCAGCTGATTCTGCTTGTGACAGTACTCAGGTACAAGTGGGCTCCTCAAGCACAAGACGCACAATGACCAATAGAACACCGGGATCAGTTCATGATTCAGGTTTCCAGCCACCAGCCAGCCATGGCTCAAGGGTCACTGAACCACATACACGGACCCAGAACCAAGAAGCAGTGCATCCATTCACAAAGAGCTTCCATATGGAATCACAAGCTCTCTCCGACCCGCAACTTGATCCCACCGTCTCGCCATTTACTCTCGAACAATACGCTCTCTTCGATCCGCAGCTTGATCTGCAGATTGATCCCAGCGTCCCGCCATTTCCTCTCGAAGAGCACG